ACATACCAAGATCAAGACACCATATATCTGTAAAGAAATCCTTCCCATCGCTTCCACCCACCACCACCATCAAATTCCTCACCAAATCCGCTGTATGATACCCTCTGTTCTTCGGTATCCTTCCAAACGTCTGCACCTGCTCCCACTTCATCCTAGTGAACGACGACACATCTAGCGTCCACACATCGTTGAGCGCGTGTAATCCCGTGCCTCCACCAAAAATCCAGATCTTCTGCTGATACAAAACGGCTGTATGTGCACGCCGTGGTGTGGGACAGGGACCGACGATGACTGGGGTGGACCATTGACGCGTGACGGTATCAAAGACGTACACGTCGTTGAAATACTTCATGCCAAAGCCCCCTCCGATTACGACGAGCTTGCGGTCGATGAGGGTTGTAGTATGCGCTCGTAACGGAGGGGGAATTGTTCCTGTTGATTCTCGGATAGTCCATTGCATGGTTTCTAGTGGATTGCGAGGGATAATTAGTAGTAATGTGACTTGAGTTTATGGAAGTACCGCACCCGTGTCGAAGCAATGCATGTCTTTCATATCCTTGGTGGAATCCTTGTCTTCGATACCGCCAACCAGCCACGCGATGTTGTCCACCAATGTCATCGTGTGTGCACGCATAGTGCGTTGGGGAACAGCACCATAGGCTGGAGCCCGACTCCAGTACATCGCAGTGCTCGGTACAGTCGGCGCGTCCTTGTCATGAGGCAACGTTGGAATGGTCTTGATTTCCAGACCAGAAGGGATGGGAGTCGGTTTTCTAGGTTTAGAAGACGTCGAAGCTGTAGTTGCTGACGCCGATGTAGATGAAGGAACCCGGTTCACAGTATGACTATTATTACTGCCGCTACCGGACACGTTCTCACCGACTGATCGGCCAAGAGTCCTGATACTCGGGGTATGCGACTTTGACGAGCTCTGACTCTGACGAGAGGACGGCGCGGACATAGTTGGAAGCGGTGTTGCACTGGCTGTCGCGACAGAGGATGCCGATGTTGATAAAGGATCTAATCTTAAGGTCGTTGTTGTGGGCGTCAACGTTCCTTCTTCAGGGACATCGCTCAGGCTGCGCGATATGCTGCTCATCGTCGTGAATGTATGAGAGTATAGTTGCTATTATATGTGATCCACGTGGTGGCATCAATGAAAGAGATGAGAAACTCATAATTCAAATCAGATTCTTCTCATTGCGTCTAACATCATGTATTATCGTAAAGACCGCGCAGTCATGTATCACAATGTAATAGTGTAACTATAGTAGCAAACGAATGTGGTCAATCAATGAATTGATGTATACTGATAGACTCGAACCAAGTCTAAAATGCTCAGAACATGCCCAGAAGTAGGAACGACAGCGCTCCAAGCAGAAGACCACCTGTCTGGCCAAGATGTCCTGCCGCGTTCGTAGCAGATGCAGCCGCAGATGCAGTCTCCGTAGCAGAGCTACTGACTGTATCAGTGGCATTCTGATTCCCGGGCGAACTTGATGACGACGATGTAGGAGTGGACGCCAGGGACTTCTTCGCGTTTTCAACGAAGGCTGCAGCAGTCTGACCAGTGGTAGGAGGGTTGACAGCGAGAACAGCACCCTGGTTGCACAATCCTCCAGCTTCGTCAAAGAACCATTGTGGGTCAGTACTGTTCACTGTAACCGTGTATCTTGGCAAACCAGGAGCATCAACAGATAACGAGTCAGATACCTAGAAGTCATGATCAATTGTTGTACGTTATGTAAAAGTCCTAATGTACCGTCTGAACACCGGTATTGATACCGTTAGTCTTGCCTACGCACGGATTATCAAACGTCGATTCTGAGATGAAATATAAATAAGACAAGGAACATTGTCAGGATGAGAACACGCACCGACAACACTATGTTGACCACTCCGGAACTCCCATACAATAGTATCGCCTACTGCCGGATGTATGACAGAAGGGTCGAAACCAAGACCCTTTTTGCTGCATTTCACAGTGAGCGAGGTGAGTGAGAATCTTGTAAAGTATTAGCATACAAACCCTGTCGTTTCGTCTTTCCCGACTCCGACAAGGTATTCTGCTCCAAAAACGAGAGGAAAGGAGCTCAACGCTACGATTGGAATGAATGCGGTGCACTTCATGTTGTACGAAACCTGGTATTAGAAAAGAGAGGGTATACGAGAGAAAGACGTTGGAAGATGTGGGGAAAGTTTATGGTCGGACTTCGGAGGACTTCCTTGCCAAGCTGTTTTCGCTAAGAAATAGAGTAGCTCGCTGAGAATAAATTAGAGCTGGAGAGAGCATGACGCCAGTAATACTGCAAGAAAGGACGGGAAATCTCTAAACAGTCGTGACATAGAGTGTTGCCAGCCCACATCCGCTGCAATCGAGCGCAATTTACGGTCGGATGGTCATTTGCACAGAGTTAAAGACAACGGTGATCGTTCATTTCATGATGTGGATGCAGATTAGACTTATACGGAAGTCAAGTTGCTCCAAGTTTATCAAATTGTCTGTACGTATGTTGATCTACATATCATGGAATCAAGTCAGGAAACCATCGCTTGTTGGCGTTGAAGGACACAGATGGCCGCGCCCTTGCAAGTCGCTCGAGGCTGTCAACCATCCAGTAAGAAAGGGCAACTTTCGTGATCTCGACCGACTTACCATACGAAGAAAACAAGGCAGTTTCCGGACTTCATGATCAACGTTCGGTTTTCGATTGTGGAACGTGAAAACGTTCAAGTGGAAGGTCAAGTTTCATATTTGCCATGCGATCCGTTGTATAAGTGTAGCAATGGGGCTCCCAAATACTGGACAACAAGATGTCAGCGATTATGCTGGATAACTTGAAAGTAATGGGGAAACGCAACCTGCGAGGGCCCGCGGGAGAAAGAACAGCACAACAAGGGCTGAAGCTCGAATGCAACGAAAAGCCTCGCGAGAGAAGAATCATGGATCTCGAGTGTCGCGCTGCAGAACGGCGAAGGGTGGCTTCGAAGGCAAGGAGATCGGATGGTAGGATGTGCATGTAAAAACGAGAAGAAAGGACAGAAGAAAAAAGAGTGCGGGCAAGACGGGATAGAGGGACAAAAGGTTCACGCAATCACACAATCACACAAAAGTTTTATTTTTGAGGCTGTCTTGAGCAATGTCTGGAGTACGATTTTGTCAGGAGACAGCCAACAATCAATAATCGAGACAACATACCTTAATATTGGAACTTGAATGACTTGCGCTCTTGAGAAGGTCTGAGATCATTTGAACATGAGCTTGAGCACTATATAGTGCAAGTACAGAACCTTGCGTACCTTGAGGCACACAATATAGTCAAGGACAGCTCTTTCTTTGGCGAAAGGGTCATAACGAAAGAAACTGGGCAATGATAGTAAGCTGTATTGCGAAATTATACAGTTAGACGGAGACTATCAATGAGAAGTCAAGAATTCACATGTCAGATGCCGGTCAAGTTGTGTGGCACATATTCACGATGCGCCTGGGTTCAGTGACATACTTCCATGTATGGGTGAAAACATGGCTGGAAGGTAGTCGAAGACGTGTGGAAGAGGCGAGGCGAGCGCTGAACATGGGAGGCTAGCGCTGAGGAGGTGGTAGGAGGAACCTCGACAGTGGGCGAAGAGTTGTTGGGCGAAAGGGTGATTGGGAACCGAGGTTTTATACGAAATTGGTTTGTGGGCGCTTCCAGACTCCGACTATCTTGAGACAATAAGAGACAAAATAAGAAACAAAAGAGTGTACTTTTATGGAACCTTGAACAAGGTGTGAAAGAACAAATGGGGTGCAAGCAGCGGCAAAGTCGTTGATGTCGGACCGAGCCTTGAGGGCTCGTAAAGTGGGATGAGACTATATATCGCGTCAGCATTTGAGATATTCTTTAGTTCATAAAATGCAGTACAGATATGGAGCACTTACGCATCGCGATTTTATAGTAAGTATGTCGGGTACGAATTTCAAATGGATTGTGGGTCACAGGACGTTCATAAACGATCTTCCATTCTTGGTCGTTATTGTATCAGTAACCAAGAGCGATCACCGGTTGAGGTTTGGGTACCTATGTACACAGGTAGCTATAAGCTCGCACATGCTCTTGGTATGAGACTAGTTGCGTCAGGATTCGAAAGATTCATGGATGCAGTCTTGATGGAGTTAGGATGTATATAGGGATTCGCTCATCGGATTCGAGGCTTCAAGCGATTGTACGATCGGTGATTTCGAACGGATTGTGGGTCACAGGAGGTCCATATGTAAACTTGAACGATCTCACCGGTTGGGTTGTGGGCGCCTGTGTGAACATGTGGCTGCGGCCAATGCTTCCTGGACCTATGTACCGAGCGCGCATTCTGTATCGTCGATACTCAAATAGTATCAGTGGAGTAAATCGATACTTTCACTACGTTTCTTCCCTATCACGCTACTTATTTCCAACTCCCTGCACCTGTAGGCTCTTGTAGGATCCTTGGGTTAAGGTTTGTGGGTACCACGTGGAGACATGTCTGGAAAAAAAAAGGTGATTCGGGCAAGAGTGATGGAGGTTGCCCGGGGTTACTTCGGGCAAAGATCAGATCGCCGAATACCCTTCACCTCGGTCACATCTTTCACTCTCATCATTGTCCTCCTTTCCTTTGTCTAGATTATCATATAATCCTGCGGGCGGCGGGGTTGACGACTCCATCGTCTCACACTGCGCTCGCAGCATCGCTAGATTGGACTCACACATTACATCACGCCTCCCACCATCCCTATTCGATAGATTCCATTCTACAACTACTCGTACTTACAGTCCTTCGTAGTTAGCTTGAGTTTTCGGCCCCTCTCTCTCGGGAGGGGGAACCGGCGCTCGAGAACTCTCAGACTCAAGAAATAGATTTCTTCTCGCAACTTCGGCCGACCTTCTCAGTTTTCTTCCTCATCTCGCTCTCGTCTTCCCATCTTTCCATCTGCAGCATCGAATCAAAACTGGGAACGAGCTGGTTGCTGTTCTGGGCGAAAACGACAGGCCCGGGGATCGAACCCGGAATCTTTAGCTAAGGAAGCTGGTTTAATTAGCCACTACGCCGGAAACTAACGCGTTGCCTTTACGCCAGCCCGCCGTACATTCGTCCCACGAGATTGCCAGACTTGAGCCGGATGCAGCAAAATGTCAGTATCTGGTGGATCAGACTCGATAGTACGACTTACAACGATCAACGGGCCAGTGTCATCCCGCTCGGTATTGTCTTCACGCAAAAAGTAGAACGAGATGTGGAATGCGAGTTCATATCGCATGAAAATTGAGATTGTGCAGTAGTACAAGTGGTAAGATACAAATCCTAGTTCGACGTGTCAACCTCAATTGCAGTATAAAAGTATTATTCACCTGAAATCATAGCCCATTCGGTCGTTCCTGCTCAAGAATATCTCTCTCTATTCATCTCGGCACGTCCTCGGGGTCAAGACCCAGACACAGTTGACCCAGCCCGAGATCGTCCAGTCGAGTCATACGCATCAACATAGTTAGTCCTGGGTCACCCACAGTGTCCTCTGGAGACCCATTTAGAATATGCCATGTGCGATCGTCGAGCTCCTCTGCTGTACAACCCCAAGCGGATTTAATTGCATTGGGATAGTTGTATGATGCAGCAATGAAGCACATGGCAGAGCCTAACAAATCTTATGAGAATGGCGGAACAACACTAATGAAAATGATTCAGAGGCGTACACAATCCACTGATGATCTGCTCTCTTTGCATTTTGGGCGACGAGTCCATGCCGTCGAAAGGGGTTTGGCCGGGAATGTGATCTGCTAGAATGTCACCAAGACGATAAAGGCGGTGACAAGCCGGGCATATTCGACTAGTGGAACGACTCTTGTTGTACCAGAGAATCTACGAGGTCCTTTAGTTAGCCGGAATCCAGAAACGAGCTATCAAGAGCGTACGAGTGCGACTTCTTCGGGAAGCACTGTCCTAAGCATTTCAAGTACTTCCTTTTGCGCAAATTCGGCACAGAGTGGGTCCTACAAATTTCGTTTTTGAGCCTTTGACACAAGTGAAGGGGGTGTTGGATGAACGTACGTCAAGCGCTGGTGATTGAGCAAAGAATCTAGATGAAAGAAACGCGTGCACATCACGTACTCGCGGTCCATTCCCCGGGTCATGAATAAAAGGGGCTTTAGGCATGAGAGGTGAGGCCGATGCCACATTAGGGCGAGGCGTTTTATAGTTATGTTCCCGACTACTGCTCCTGAATTCAGGTCTCTGTGAATTCTTCATCGCAGTCCCTGTTCCACGCGCATTTCCCGCATAGGTGTTTGATGTAGGTGTGAGACATGGTGAACGCGCTGGCGGTGAGTTGTCCTTTTTACAGTCAGCGTCCGACGACGCCTTTTCGTTAACGCCTTGCTGGTGCTTCTTGGCGGCTTTTCCTTGAGATTTACGTTTCTTTTGAGGATTGGATGGGCCGGGCATAGCTAAAGGAGATGGACGTTTGGAGTGAAAGTGAACGAAGCGAAAGCGTGACCTCATTGACGCGCCAGCTTTCAAATCCGTTCCACGTGATGGTGGCGTCGAGTTGGAGACCCGGTACAGTACACCTCAGGCGGTCAGTTACACAGCACAAATCGGGAGTTCTCAATTGCAACGGGAAGCTAGGATTCATAATAGCAAGTCTCAGTAAATGAACTTGGTTTTCCAAAAGGTAAAACCTCGATTAATCGGTCCCAGGTGGGGCGACATTCCGAGTCTCAGGCGAAAACCTTCGCATGTCGTCGTCAAGCGTTGCCAGTGAACGTTCAGAGCATTTTGACCTTCGGAGGCAAGGGCATTGGCTGACACTGACACAGCCGGCCCGTCGATATTGAGGCGGAGTCAGGGCGGACTTCAAACGAGACGACTTGTCAATAGGAACCGAGACCTGCTACTGGTAACTGCTTCGTCCGAACCTACATTTCTGCCATTTTTTGTCCCACATTTTCCTTTTCATTCACCGCAACTCTGAGGTCCTTTTACGCACAAGGCACTGCCTATTTCTGGAGAGAAGAGAATTTTTGGATGATTTTATCTGCCGATCTTGCCGTACTTTTCCATGCGAGATTTCCCCGGCTGAGCGCTCGGGAAAGCGCAGCAAAATATCTGCTCGATGGTGTGTTCTTCACACACATCTTATAGTGCCTTTCATGGCGCTCGGTTTTCGAAGAATAACCGCTACGGTCCTTGGCCTGGTAATGGTCGCTCAGTGGCAGCAAGTCCACGTCGCTGCAGCCCTACCACCCGGCACTCCTGCAGACTATGACCCCTACGTTGATCCTAAGCATGATATTAACAATCCTCTGAAATATATCGCGACCGATTCGCTCACTGCAGTCTCCTTTGGTGCGTATGCGTGTTTAAATTCATTGCCCTTTCTCACCTACCTGGTCCAGCTCTGGTCATGGTGGTAGCGATCTCACAGACGTATTGTGTTTTCAAATGGGGAGCAAAGTGGATGCTCTCCCTGGTTATTGGCGAATATTGTACGTCCGATTCATATCTTGTGATTCATTTTCACAGAGAAAATCAATATGAACAGGCTTTGCGTTTGGTCTTTCCATGCGCTTCGCTCTCAATAGGCACCCAGACTCTTTGTCGACATACATTGTCGAAGACATGTTTGTTGTGCTCTCAGTACGTTCTTACTTTCTGCCATGTGCTTGATCTTATGCTTTTTCAGCCATGTGCATTCATTGCAGCAGATTACGTTCTCCTTGGCCGAATGGCGACCTACCTTGGCCTCGACAAACACCTTCTAGTCTCGCCTCGCAAGATCACAGCAGCATTCGTGACCTCCGACGTCACAACATTCCTCATCCAAGTCTGTTTCATCACTCTTCGAGGTGAAATTTAACTGATCCTCTTTTCAGGCTGCAGGAGGTGGCCTTTCTGCAGCTGCTAAGACCGAAAAGGCTAACAGAACAGGCTCAAGAGTCAGTAGCCAGATCACAACTATTATGTTACGCTGAATCACCACACCAGGTTTTTCTCGTCGGCCTCATACTCCAACTAGTGTCTTTCGCTACATTTACTGTGATTTATGGTGTATTTCTCTACCGCACGCGTACAAGAAATGCGGAGATCTGGAACCGAGACATTTCCAAACCTTGGTACAACGACTGGCGTACCCTCTCAAACGTGCTCTGCATTAGCTGCTTTGGTATCCTGGTGCGAGAATCCGGCATTGTGGTTTTTGTTCGCGTATTCAATACCGCATTCTCTACAGATCCGTTCTTTTTATCGTGTCATCGAGCTCTCTCAAGGGTACCAAGGATATCTTGCGACGAACGAGGCTTTTTTCTATGGGCTAGATACTCTCCCTCTTTTCCTTGCCATCTCTATATATACACCTTTCTGGCCTGGCCGTTTCATTCGTAGCGACCCTCGAATGATCAAGTCGAGTTGAAAACACAGAATCGGACAGACTCCATTTAGACAGGCTATTTATTGGTAGTTTACTCCAGACCATACCTTTACCATGGACGATAGCTTTGTGGATAACATATCCTTTGTTCACAAGATCAAGTGTTCTAGTTGATATTTAACTACAGCTTCTGTATACCAAACAGATTTCAAATTTGTACATTGCATTTTATGCGTTACGATACTCGAAGGCACCAAAATATCAATGAGACTATTCGTGTAACCCGCTTCATCTTCCTTTCTGCCTTATCTCATCGACGGATAGAACCTCTGCATGAACGAAGCCGAAGGACTTCTTGAGGTAATGAAGGATATCATGCAAGACCTGGCTCTCAGAGAACGGCAGGGCGCATCCGAAGGCCGTCTGGGCACCGAATTGGGCCATGCGTTTCTACAGATGATTGTTTTTTTAGTTTGTGAACGTGAAAGGAGTTAGTGAAAGGCTGACCTTGAACGCCTGAACGAACTACATAGCACGCTTATTCTTGATGAGACCACGTTCCATAGGCAGCACCTTCACCTTCGTATCATCGACCTTATCCGTCTGCTCATTACAAGTATCTTTCACCGCCTGTACGGACGTATCCTATCACTCCCGGAACACCGTCGCCACGTATATCCGCACACTCTTCGGCAGCTTCGGGTCGAGGATCCGCAGGCCCCTTCTTGCCCTTGACTTTTGCAGCATCTTGAGTGACCTTCGCAGCATCTTGAGCCGTGACACCTCGGCATCGTAAATCGTCTTGATCGTCTCGCGCATGTAGGCAGCGGCCTTCGATAGACTTCGTGGGCGAGCTGAATCGAGGTAGGCGATCGGAAAATGGTAATGTAGATGTTTCGGGCGAAGTGAAGCACGATAGAGTGATGATGAGGAAGGAGGCGTTGGTCCAGTATCGTATGAGGTCATGGTCTATTCCCACGTCGCAGGTTACTTCACGATACCAGTCGCGGACGCTCTGCAACTCGTAGAAGCCCAATTCGATGGTGTCCTTGTATTTCATGCTGCGACGCTTCGTAGTAGTTCTGAGTGATGTGAATGAGCTTCCTCAAAAATGTCCCTCAGACCATAACACGAAAGAAGCACTCTACGCACAGCCATACCTCACACCAGCCCAACAGCATACACGCAGAATATTCTTATTCGCCGCCTTTTCCTCAAAATTCGCATCCTATCACCCACAATCACCCAACGACAACCTCCCCAAACTTGCGAATCCCATCGCGGAGCGTCAAAAAGTTGACCGAGCTCCTTGACATCTTCTTCCAATTTAGCATTAAGTGCCTGTTCGTGCGCATGCTCAAGGAGAACTTGTCTACCGGGAAAATCACAGCGTGTACAAGCAGAAACGTCACGTGGTATGGGGACGAGGTCTTTGGCGGAGGAACGGATGTATTGAGGGGTATTCGTGTTTATGGGCGCCAGCTTTTTCGGTCGCAGAAGATGTACTCCCAGATTTCGTTAGCTATTTAGTCAAGGGTAATGCCGAGAGGACCGGGCTTGGATCCGGTCGAGGCTGTCAGAAATATCTGAACGTTGAACTTCGAGAGAAAATGAGAGTTTAATATCAAGTGAGAAGATCGATACGTACCGTGGAGAAGCTGTGCAACAGTACTAGTGTAGTAGCTCGTGTAGATAGTCGAGTCACTCAGAGATTCGACGA